AAGTATGATATTGGCTCGGGGTTTGTCATAAATGGACTTCATAATTCTAAGGTATGAGCCACCTATGCCTATTTTGTTAAGAGTTTTTATCATAAAGGTGTGTTGGACTTTGTCAAATGCCTTTTCTGCATCTATTGAGAGAATCATATGGTATTTATTCTTGTTTTTATTTATCTGGCGAATTGGATTTATAGATTTGCATATGTTGAACCAGACTTGCATCCCTGGAATAAAGCCCACCTGGTCATGGTGAATTATTTTTTTGATGTGCTGCTGAATTCTATTTGCTAAAATTTGTTGAGGCTTTTTGCATCTATATTCATGAGGGATATTGGTCTGTCATTTTTTTTGTTGTGTCCTTTCCTAGCTTTGGTATCAAGGTGATATTGGCTTCATAGTGTACATCTTGGGCTTCATAGTGTATATCTTCTCTTATCAAGTGTCTGTTCAAATCCTTTGGCTATATGTTATTGGATTGTCTTAGTGAGTTAAAAAAATTCCCTATATATTTTTGATATTAAATACCTTACCTTTGTAAGATATGGATATTGCAAAATTTTCTTCCAATCTGTGCCTCGCCTTTTCATTTTAATAGCATCTTTCAAAGAACAGACGTTTTAAAAAAATTTTAGTCTAATTTTTTGTTTTTTGTGTGTGATGTTAATATCTAAGAAATCATTGTCTACTCAATGGTTATGAAAATTTTGTCCTGTTTTATAAGTTTTACGGCTTTAGCTTTTATGTGTAGGTCTACGATCCATTTTAAGTCAATTCTTGTGTGTGGTGGGAGGTAAGGGTTGAGGTCCATTTTTCTCCATAAATAGATCCATTTGTTTGAATATCTGTTGAAACAACTATCCTTTCCCTATTGAAATAGCTTGGCATTTTTGTCACAAATCATCAAGTCATATATATGTGGGCCTATTTCTGCATTCTATTCTGTTTATTGATCTATGTCTACCCTTAACATAATACTCCATCATCTTGATTACTGTATCTTTATATAGCAAAATTTTATGCAGATTGTGTAAGTTCTCTAATTTTTCCTTTTTCAAAATGTTTTGGCTATTCTGGGTCATTTGCTTTTACATACAAATTTGATTATTAACTTGTCTGCAAAAAAACACTGCTAGAATATTTTTTAAAATTGATTTATAGATCAATTTAGGAATAACATTTATAAAATTCATTTTGTAGCAAAATTTACATATACAAAATTGAGACTTCCAATCCACAATTTTCTCTCTCTCCACCTTAGATTTTCTTTCAGTCCTTAGCAAGTTCTGATTTTTATTGGCTAGGTCTCGTACAAATTGTTATATTTCATGTTAATACTTGCAAATGACAGTTTTTAAATTTTAATATCCAATTATTAGTTTTTTAGCATGTAGAAATAAAACTGGGTTTTGTATATTGACTTTATACCTTACTTTGCTAAACTCATTTTCATAGCTTTTTCGTTGCTTCTTTAGGACTTTACATGTATGATCATGTCTTCTGCAAAGAGCTTTTATTTTTTACAATATGTATGTTTTTTCTTTTTCTTGCCTTATTTCACAGGCTGGGATCTTCAGTATAATGCTGAATAAAAATGTTGAAAGCAAATATGTCTTTGCTTTCCTAATTCTTGTTTGCTGAGTTTTAATCACAGATGGATGTTAAACTTCATTGTATACTTTTTCTGCATCTATTGAGCTCATCATGTTCCACCCTACTGTATTAATTTGGTAAATTAAACTGATTTTTAAAATTCGAGTTCTTTTAAAATATATTCAATTGTGGTAAATTAATACACACTATAAAATTTACCATCTTAACCATTTTTAAGTTCAGTATTAAGTGTATTAATTGTTGTGCAGCCATTCTCCAGAAATTTTTCAGCTTGCAAAACTTTATAACCATTAAACAGTAACTCCATTTTCTCCCTCCCTAATTCATTTATTTCACAAATGTTTGTGACAAATTGAAAACAAAGTGGCCCTTCACTACAAGAAGTTTTCAAAGCAGTCAGTTTATTAGTAAAATGCATTTTCATTTATTTTTTACTGACAGGGTCTTGCTCTATCTCCTGGGTTAGAGTATAGTGGTGTCTCATCATAGGTTACTGCAACCTCAAATTCCTGCGCTTGAGAGATCTCCCTGCCTTAGCCTCCAAAGTAGCTCGAATTACAGGCATGTGCCACTACACCTGGCTAATTTTTGACTTTTTGTGGAGATGGGATCTCACTGTGTTGTCTAGTCTGGTCTCAAACTCCTGGCCTCATGTAATCTGCCTGCTTCAGTTTTCCAAAGTGTTAGGTCACTAAGATTACAGGTGTGAGCCACTTTGCCTGGCAAAAAGCCACCATTTTAAACATATGCTTGGCTTGCAAATTAAACTTTAACCCTTTGCACTCGCTTGCTTTTTTCTTGATTCTTTTATTCTACTTGGGATTTAATTTTTTTTTTTTTTTTTGAGACAGAGTCTCACTTTGTTGTCCAGGCTAGAGTGAGTGCCGTGGCGTCAGCCTAGCTCACAGCAACCTCAAACTCCTGGGCTTGAGTGATCCTTCTGCCTCAGCCTCCCGAGTAGCTGGGACTACAGGCATGCGCCACCATGCCCGGCTAATTTTTTATATATATATCAGTTGGCCAATTAATTTCTTTCTATTTATAGTAGAGACGGGGTCTCGCTCTTGCTCAGGCTGGTTTTGAACTCCTGACCTTGAGCAATCCGCCCGCCTCGGCCTCCCAAGAGCTAGGATTACAGGCGTGAGCCACAGCGCCCGGCCGGGATTTAATTTTTTAAATACCCCAGATTTTACAAAGCACAGCAGTAGAATAAAAAACTGGAGTTTCTTTTCATTCAAACTTATTTAGATTTTTTTATATTTCAAATTATTGATACATTCAAAGAGTAATTTTAATCTCTATAATATTTGCTAACCATGTCGAGTCACACTTGACGTCCGAGTGCAAAGGGTTAAAGCCATATGCAGGGGGGGGGGAAAAAAGTCTTGAGAGAACAAATATACCTAGTGTTCTGACTAATCATTTTCACCACTTCAAACTAGATAAAATTAGATTATGTAATTTTAAAGCGATTTATTTCACTCAAACCACAGTATCTTATTTAAGCATGTCAGTCAAAGTTTGATCATTACTTGACCATAAACAAAGGCACAAGTCACATTTTTTCTTGACCTGTTCCTTCCTCTGTACTCCATGCCTGGCTGAAGCCTCCTGCTCAGCCAACATGGACAGGTGATTTTTTTAGTTTTTCACTAAGGATTTATAGCTTAACAATCATCAGCTTGCCTTCTGACAAGTACTCAGTGTTACCAATTCATCTGTTACTATTCTAAAACAGTTTTGCTTTTTATATAGAATTTCATTTATTTTCTTGAAGAGATTAACAACTAATAATTTTAGTTTCATGGAATCTGTTTTTCCCAAATTGATAGCTTTTAATTAATTAAAGAAATATACAGGAGTCATATGTACATTACATCATAAATGGACTGTCAGATTTTTATCCAAACAAATATCCTGGGAATTTGAAACTATTTGTTTTCAGGAAAAAAATTTTAAGCAACACAGAAACATATTGTATAATAGTTTTATTTTTCTCATTTTACTATTTTTACATTTTATGCACAAATATTTATCTGGGTAAAAATAGAAAATAACCTTTATGTAAAATTACAAAAAAAAATAAAAACCACAAAGAAATACATAATTGTTATTATGACAGTATAAGTGTCTTTATTTAAAGAGTAAAAATGTATGCAAAAATCCTCCTCCCTTTTACAAAAGATTGAGAATATTTTTTTCCTGGCAGCAAGTGAAATATTGAAGTATCAATATTTTTACTTTTTAGATCTGAAGACATTAAGTTAGTCACATGTTTGTTTTGCAATTATGAATTTTAAAACATTTCTGTGCTATTTTAAAGATATACTAGTTTTTTTAAAGGCAGTAGCATAAAATAATGAATATGGAAAACAGCAGACCTTACCAAAATACCTGGTGGTATAATCCTTTAAAGAAATCTCATACTTGAATATCACCATTAATCATGGGAGAAAACAACTAAATAATTTTTCCTAATTAAATGACACCGGTTGATAGAAAAATGAATGTGATCAGTTGATTTACATGAAGATCAACCACACATAGCAATTTTACCAATATTGTTTGATTTTTCAATACCAACACATATCTTCAGATTTTAGGCTAGCAAGGTATGTATGAAGGTTGGCTCAATAAAAACCTCACAGGGAAAGCAAGTTTTAAAACAAAAGTGAATAATTCATTATTCTTGTCCTTATATGGTACAAAAGAAGACCAATAAATCTTATCTTTCTTTTGAATATATTGTAAATTCTCCTATGAAAAGTTTATTTATAAACACAGAGCAAAGAATGAATAGCATGAATTATATTTTCTTTTACAACACATTTTTTTTTTTTGAGACAGGGTCTCTCTCTGTTGCCTGGGCTAGAGTGCAAGAGCATCATCACAGCTCACTGCAGCCTTCAACTCCTGGGCTCAAATGATCCTCCTGTCTCAGCCTCCCATGTAGCTGAGACGGCAGGCATGTGCCACGATGCCTGGCTATATTTTTGAAATTTTCTGTAGAGATGGCATCTTGCTATATTCCCCAAGCTGGTCTCAAACTACTGGCCTCAAGTGATCTTCCAACCTCCGCCTCTCAAAGTGCTAGGATTACAGGTGTGGGCCACCATTCCTGGCCACAAGTTATCTTTTATTATAAGAAAAAACTACCTTGCCTTCTGATAACGATAACCGTAATAAGGACAACAGAAATATTTTATATATAACTTGAGACAAGGCAATGAAAATTTCTGGAATCAATTGGAGAAATTAGTTACATTATTTTACCTATGTTATGGTGCAGAGAATGATGGTAAGAGAGAAGTAAAGAAGAAAAAAAAGCATCTGATCATGTATGAGAACTGTGTCTTTTCAAAGGAAAAAATGAATAAAATGTGGTTATCAAAAAAAAAAAAAAAAAAAGGACCTGGGAAATGCTTTAAGGAGAAAAATAATAGTTCAATTTTAAGGATCTAAAAGAAATGTGTTCTTGCCTTAAACACACACATATTATGTAGCTGAAACATAAAGTCTGTCATCTTGGCTAAAACTTTAACATGTCTCCCCAAAAGCATTTTATATCTAAGTCAAGATTCTTAAGCTCTTGATAATATATCAGAAGAGTAGGTTATATTATTTTTTAAAATTGTAAGTGACTTGTTAACTCCTTAGGCCATAAAAGGATTGTGCAAAAACTTCTGTTTAGCTGTTACCTAGAGCTTCTATATATTATTTCACATTGTTATTCTACTCTAACATTCTTGCAATCACAGTACCCAAATTGTACTAATAATTTGTTCATATATTCTCTATATGTTCATAAAAATGGAAGTACAAATAATACTCTTCTTATATATCTGCTGGAGAATCTCAAAGGGACTTGATACAATAATAGAAATGAACTGAGAGTACATTTTGTTGTCTTACAGCACAGCTTTTAAAGTTTTGATATAAAGTTACCAGAAAAGGATATCAGAGACCCCTTTCTCTCCTCTCTTCCTTGTCCCTAAGATCCCTGCTTCCTATGATTCCTTCCAAACCACCATTTAGTACTGGTAGCAACGACTGCTAACAATGCCACCTTGCCTGTTTTACCATGGCCCTTTTCTCCAGTTAGTCAAAAGCATTAGCTGAGCTCTTATAAAGCTGTTTTGGGGGATGGAAGTAAAGGAAATGACAGAGAAGATGCATAAAGTAAAATGTGAGATTCCACCTTCTGTCATAAGAGGATTAAAAGTTATTTGCCAGTCTCTCATATCATGATTTGTGCTTAATACCTTAAAACAAATAAGACAAAATAAAACAAAACAAAAAGATAGCCATTTCCATTTTGTGTTAGCTTGTGTAAGGAATTTCATATACAAGAATTATTAAATTTTTTAAATAAGTTATTTAATAATTTTCCTTCTGAATATCTTCATGCCTTCATTTATTTGTGTATATATGTATAAAATGATCAACTGGACATATGTATAGATATTTGTATACACACAATTGTATACACACAATATCCAAAAGGAAAAAAATGGGAAGTTTTATTTTAAAGAGAAGACTGCCTATAATAGAGATCAAATTTTCCTTTTAAAACTATTTGCAAGTAATGTATTAATGTCTTGAAAGGTAAAGTACTGCTGACTGATTTAAAGTCTTCATTTTATTAGAAACACAATAATATATAAGCTGCTTTGCATAATAAACCGGCACTATAGGTTAATTCAAAAAAAAAAAAAAAAAAAAAGGAAGCCATACCAAACCAAACCAAACTTTTATTTTCTGGCTGAGGTATACCTTTTCAGTTTTTTAAATCTCTGACAGGAACAACAGAGATCATTTTAGAATTTTTGTAATAGCTGGTTTATTAGAATTAAATGCCTCTCTCGAAATAATTTAAATTCTTGGTTTGACATTATGGATAATCTATACAGAATATCCTTAAAACTGGCTTGAGTTAAGCCAGATTTAAACCTGGATCTCCTTCTTCAGCACTGCTCTTTTGCCAGTCAACTTATCATTCTTTGCTTGCAAATATATAAATTACTTTAATAACCTGATACTCTTAGTTTAGTAATTAATATTATAATTTTATTAGATATGAACATTTTAGCTCTGCTTAATTAGATGAAACAGGCACACATGCTTTAGCTGAGAAATCCCATTTTCTGGTTCTATGTAAAGCAACATCTAAAGCAGCAGAGAGGGGAAACAGTTATATTTTCAAAAATAGTTTTGCCAGACTGTTTCCTGGAGATACTTCATTTTTCATTTTCAGATGCTACTGGCTATTTTTGGTAGGGCTAGACATTAATACTGACCAGTTTAGCTTTCCTGACTGTTAACAAACTATTCCACAATGAACCTGCCTTCACACTGCAGACATTGTGGTGATCCTTTAACGTACACATATTCTAAAATATATGCTCAAAGTAAAAAGATCCAAATTCACAAGAGTATGAAATATTTATAAAAAATCATGCATCAGATTGTACAGTCTAGAAATAAAAGAAAATTTAAATTCAGTAATAAAGGTAAGAGCCATACTTGCTCTAAATGTTTAAGAAAGACCTTGGAGTCCCAGAAGGTCCTGGGCTCAATTATCCTTTTCTGTTTGCAGAGCAGCAGTAGCTAGAGCTACTGCTGTGACTGGTTGGGCAATTCCATGGAGCTGCATCTTTGCAAGTTTCTTCTGTTCACATTCTGTGACCAAACGGTTCAACTCTGCTGCACTGTATCCAATAAGAGTCTTCAAGTCACAGACAAACTTGTATACAAATCTCTTGCCTTGAACTTTACAAATCATGTCCCCATCATAATAATACCTTTAAAAAGAGAAAAACACACTAGGACTATATAAAAAATAAAGAATTCAGACTTCTTACAATATTTCACAGACTATTCTGTAAGTAGAAGCCTAGTAGAGTACTGCATCCACAAGAATAGCAATTAACATTGAAGTTACATAGAACATTTAATGTTACTACACCAGGAAATGCCAAAACAGTATTTAAGAAAATTTCAGTGCTCAGTACTCCAAAATGCTATACACTAAACTTTCAAAGCATATTTTCAGGCCGGGCGCTGTGGCTCACGCCTGTAATCCTAGCTCTTGGGAGGCCGAGGCGGGCGGATTGCTCAAGGTCAGGAGTTCAAAACCAGCCTGAGCAAGAGCGAGACCCCGTCTCTACTATAAATAGAAAGAAATCAATTGGCCAACTGATATATATATAAAAAATTAGCCGGGCATGGTGGCGCATGCCTGTAGTCCCAGCTACCCGGGAGGCTGAGGCAGAAGGATCACTCGAGCCCAGGAGTTTGAGGTTGCTGTGAGCTAGGCTGACGCCACGGCACTCACTCTAGCCTGGGCAACAAAGCGAGACTCTGTCTCAAAAAAAAAAAAAAAAAAAAGCATATTTTCAACAATTATAATAAAACAATGATTTAAAAATAAATGCAATTATTTTAAAAACATGTAAAAACCTTGGGAGCAGCAGTAGAACCTAAGAATAAGAGCCTTGCAATCAGAAAGCCAAGATTCCAAACCTAACATCTTTGAGAACACAGGAAAGTCACATTTTCTCAAAGTTTTTATTCCTCATCTATACAGTGAGGTTAAACACAATGCTTATCCTCAAAGAATTGTAGAAGATTAAAAGGATAATCTTTGTAAAGTGCTCAGCACACAATAACTGGCACAGAGTCCTTTACAAAATATAAGCTATGTTAATGAGAATATATATAATATGAAAAAATTTTTAATATACATTCTATGGAATGTCCACTTCTTTTCTGTCTTATACAAAATCCTGTTATGATGTAGCCATGCCTTCATCTTTATCATTTTACTATGTAAAGGCTTTCCAAATTTCAGAGAAATTAGCTAAGTCCAATGGGGAACTTCAAAGGTGTAAGTAAAGGACTAGAAGGACAGAGGGTAGAGGAAAAACAGAAACAGACATTACAAAGAAACAATGTCTCGAAGCCTATATAAGCAAATTTGTGGAAATCACTCTAGAAGTCTAGTTTAGTGCTGCATTCTATAGAGGGGGAAATAAATAGAGATGGATTTATATTTCCTTAGGAAAATAGACTTTCTTACCACTATACACTGCTAATTCCAACAACAAGAAAAAAAAAATGGGAAGTCAAGCTCCTTTCTGAGCTGGCATATTGTGAAGTCCTTATTTTAAAATTACACTGCCCATTGACAAAGAGCTGTTCCAAAAGGAACAACTATTTGCAAAAATATCAGTGATACTACTACATTTAGCAGGATTTTATCCTAAAAGTCACCCAGCTCAATCAAGAGTCCATGAATAAAAAGATTATATGCAGAAAAGTATGTCATCTTTTCCTAATTTCAGAACAGTAAAAATAGAAGTTATGTTTGATTTCCCAGTAAGAGATATAACCCACAGGGCAAAGTAATACAGAATTTGGACTCAACCCACAAACCACCAATTGCTTATCATCCAGTTTAAAATGCAATAGGCATTTCAATTTCTTAAGAAAATTTCTACGTTAATATATAAGGCGGTAACAAATATACACATGGGGAAAATGGAAAAATGGAAAAGGAAAGAGATTTTATATTTCTAGGAGGAAAATGGAGTTGTTATAATCTTATGTTTTTTGGTGAGAGGGGATAAGAAAGCATACATTCATAAAATTTGATTTTACTTAATATTTCCTTCAATTTAATAGATACATCACCCAACTGTATATAGTAGCATTCACTGCATTTGTTCCCTCTCTGCAATGAAGCAAACAGAAAGGTACACAATACCTATATTTTCATGGGTATGTTTTCTTTTCTTTTTAAAAAGTTGTAATTTTTTAAACCCTTTTAATTGTGAAATATATCACACACACAAAAAGGACACACAAGTGAACAGCTCAGTGATATATTACAAAGTGAACATTGACCTGCTAAGTATCACTCAGGGCAAGAAACAGAACACTGCCAGCACCCAGAATCCTCTTTCCCCTCCTGATTATCCTCCCAACCATTGCTGCTCTAAAAGGTAAACACAGCCTGTTTCATGATAGTAAACTTTTTATGCTTTTCTTTGTATTTTTTATCACACAAACATGCATCCCTAAATAATGTAATGTACTTTTCCTATATTTTTTATACCTGTGTGCAAAAAGATTTTCCTGTTTTTTAAATTTTACTAAATAAATATATTCATATAGTATTTAGTCTTTTGGGTCTGTATTCTTTCACTGAACATTATGTTTGTGAGGTTCACCTGTCGCTGTTTATAGCAGGAGTTCATTTTCATGGATGAACAGTATTCTCTTGTATGAATATAACAAGCTGATTTATTCATTCTACTGTTGACAGATATCTGGGTGGTTTCTGGGTTTGGGATATCATAAATAAGCTGCTATGAACATGTTTATGGGCATACATGTACCCTCTGTTTCATATACACTTAGGAGAGCAACTGCTGGGTTACAGGTAACAATTTACATTCCTACCAGAAGTGTAGAAGCATTCCCACTGCTCCATATTTTCATAAACATTTGATACTGGCAATCTTTTTCATTTCAGCCATGTTGCGGGGGGCATATTGTACATTTCATTGTGGTTTTAAATTGCATTACCCTGATTACTAATGAGATTATGCACCTTTGCATATATTCATTGGCCATTTGGACAATCTTTTGTCTGAAGTGTATATTCAAATCTCTTGCCCATTTATAAAAATTTTTGCCTATTAATTTGTAAGAGTTCTTTAGATATTCCAGACACGAGTCTTATGTCAGGTATGCGTGGTTCACCTTTCACTTTCTTAATGATGGCTTTTAATGAACGAAAGTTCTTAATTTAAATGTAGCCCAATGTATCAATCTTTTTCTTTAGGATGACTTCTTTTGATTCAGCTTAATGCCTCTCTCCACCACTCAAAGTCTTGAAGGTATCTCTAGATATTTTGCTATTTTACTTTTTACACTAAAGCTACAAGCTATATGAAACTGATTTTTGATATGGTATGAGGAAGGAGTCAAGTTTCACTTTTTCCCCAGATTGATAGTCAATTATCTCAGCACTGCTGATTGAAAAGTAGGTATTTTCCTCATACATTTTCTCCTTCATTTGGTTCCTTTAAACCAGTGCTTATATATTCTTGGAGTTTTTTTAGGTTCCCTATTCCCCTGTATGGTCTATTTATCCTTGAGCAAATATCATACTGTCTTCTTATTGTAACTTTAGAGTCAGTCTCTATGTCCTATGGAGCAAGTATTTCCAATTTGATAATCTTCTTCAGGTGGCCTATCACGATATTTCATATTCCCAAATAAATTTTATGATTACCTTGTCAAGTTCTATGAAAAAACTTACTCAGATTTTTATGGCTGCTGCATTGAAACTTTTAGATCAATCTGAAAAGAACTGATATTTTAATTATTAATTCTAACAATTTACCTGTAATGTTGAGAGGACTTAAATGTATACAATCTGTATCAACACCCCAAAATGGTAGTTGTAATTGACTATATATGAAGAATCTCTAGGTAGTTGGCAATGTGTTTGAGACTAAGTGATAAGCACACTGAAAATTAAACATTTTAGTCAATCATGAATTCTAAGAAAAACAAAAGCTCATTCAGGGAAAGAAAAATAATAATGGCAAACTATGTGACAGTACTTAAATGACCATAATACTGTAATCACGAATATTCACCTAACCAAAATTGCCATATAATTATATTGGGATGAGGGGATGGAAAGGGTGTGTGTGTGTGTGTGTGTGTGTGTGTGTGTGTGTGTGTGTATATAGTGGTGAGAACTAAATCATAATGTCTCAGTGAAACTCATAGACAATGGCTAAGAAGTAGCCATTGTTTCTTTACTGAAACAAGAAGCAGTAAAAGCATGTTATTTAGAAATACAGAGGTAAACTGCAGAACTACTATACCATATTCAATCTTCAAAGAAGCCAGACATAATTCCAGTATATCCTCCTTCTCAGAAACTTAAAAGCACCTACTGAATTTCCATCACTGTAGTAAGCATAATTTTTAATTTATGGCAAAAAAATTCATACTACTTATGGGAAATTACAAATTTTTTTTTTTTGAGACAGGGTTTCACTCTGCTGCCCAGGCTGGAGTACAGTGGTATCATCATAGCTCACTGCAATCTCAAACTCCTGGGCTCAAGCGATCCTCCTCCCTCAGCCTCCTGAGTAGCTAGAACTACAGGCATGTGCCACCGTGTCTGGCTAATTTTTAAATGTTTTGTAGAGACAAGATCTTGTTATGTTGCTCAGGCTGGGCTTTCTAAACTTTTGGCCACAAGTGATCCTCCTGCCTCGGCCTCCCAAAGTGTTAGGATTACAGGTGTGAGTCACTGCACCCAGCCAGATAATTTTATTTTATTCTAATTTTATCAATGTAAAGGTTGAATATTCAGATTTAGGAAGATTGTAAATGGAGAAAAAAATAGGAAAATGGGTCAATACTTTGCATCTACTTGTAAAAACAAAAGATAGTATTTGCTTATTAAAAATTTATACTCAATTCACCCATGCAAATGACAACATCTTTATCTGTTATACAAATGATTAAAACCTCAAAGATTAAACAGGCTGATTTTGAATAGAGTATTATATCCTTTCAAATCAGATTAAAAAAATCAAATAATCTTAAAAATATTTTAAAAAACTGTATATATCTCAAAATTATTAAGATCTTTTTTAAAAGGTCTTTAACGTCACAGCTATGAAAATTTTAGTTTTTTATATATATGGAAAAAACCTTATGAGCAAATATTTTAATATTAATATCATTACATAACAATGTTTATACCTAGAATAAGAAGTTAGTTTTAGAAAGACTTGGTATTAGAAAAAAAAGTAATAAATATTTACCTTAATGCACGACTGAGTTTCTCATAGTTCATTGTAGGTTTATTTTTACGTTGTCCCCATTTTTGTGCAACCAGTTCAGGCTGATTTAGCTTAAACTCGCCTTCATCACCAACCCAGGAAATACAGTCTCGAGCATCCTTGTCGGTAAGAAGTTCTAGCAAAAACTGCCATAGTTGGATTTGGCCATTGTTTCCTAAATTGACAGGAGGAATAAGCATTGGCTATAGTGTTACAGATTATCATAGGGCAAAGACAACACACAGGTCCCCTGGCTTAAATCTCACCCATGGCAAAAAACAAATATTTTTCTTGTTGTCTAATACTTTCAGAGGAATAGTCTATATTCACATTTTCATATAGTGAAATAAAACAATATATACCTAAGTCGACAAATTTTATAAATACAAGATAATACAAAAATACCTGTCCTATTCCCAGGTGAGCTTCTATCTTCTCCTGAGATCCTTGGAGCTCTTTGTACTTTAGCTGCCTTTGTACTACTATTTATAACTTTAATAGTACTTGGTGTAGCAGACTGTACTGATGCTGGAATAATTTGAACAGCTATAAAGACAAACAAAGGGAAAATTTTTTTCTTCCAAACAAGCAGTGAAAACAATTACTAACAGACATTAAATGCAATTAGTTTAATGCCCCTCCAATTACTCTAAGAAAATATCTCATTAGGCCAGGTGCTGTGGCTCACGCCCGTAATCCGAACATTTTGGAAGGCCAAGGAAGGAGGATTGCTTGAGGCCAGGAGTTCAAGAAAAGACCTTATTACAAAAAAAGCCTTAATCCACAACAGTTTTGAACAAAATCACAAAAAAGTTCAGAGCATAAAATATGATGTCTGCCTTATGGTTTGTGAATCTAACTTAGTGAATAAGAGTTGGTATTCTTGTTTTGAAATAACTCAGTGGTGCATATACATTAGACAAAGAGTATTAAACAGTTTGTTTTTAAAACATTTGCTCCTAAAAATGGTTTATCAAATGTTGGGAGAAAATGTAGACAAATGAGAACTCACATTCCACTACTGATGAGAGTACAAACTCATAACATCACTTTGAGAAAAACTCTGGCAATACCTAAAGGGTAGAAATCCTGATACTAAAACCAGAGAATCTTACAGATGTTCTCACAAATACTTATCCAATAATATTCACAGAATTTTAAAAATACTATACACTGATAAAAATGAATGAAATTGAGCTGCAATAGCAACATGGGTAAGTCTCACAAGTGCTAAACAAAAAAGTTATAAAAGGATATGTACAAAATATTACCATTTTATTCAAAATGTTTAAACATGTATAAAACAATGCTATAAAGTATTTATGGTTACTTAGTTGGTAAAAATATAAAATATGCAGAGAGTAATGAACATCAAATTCAGGATAGTCATTTCTCTCATTTCCTCTGAGAGAGGAAAATGGGATCTGCAACAAGTAAACTTTTTTTTTTTTTGAGACAGAGCCTTACTCTGTTGCCTGGGCTAGAGTGCCATGGTGTCAGCCTAGCTCACAGCAACCTCAAACCCCTGGGCTAAAGCAATCCTCCTGCCTCAGCTTCCCAAGTAGCTGGGACTATACAGGTGTGTGCCACTGCACTGGCTAATTGTTCTCTATTTTTAGTAAGATAGAGATGGGTCTCCCTCTTGCCGAGGCTTGTTGTGAACTCCTGACCTCAAACAATCCTCCCACCTAGGCCTCCCAGAATGCTAGGATTACAGGCATGAGCCACCATCCCTGGTTATTAAACTTGATATATAAAATTTTATGTCTTATGGTATACACAGGTATTAGTTATACTTTTTTTGTATATCTCAAATTCTTCATAAAATTTTTTGTAAAAATTGTTTTCCTTTTTACTACCTTGCAGTATCAAATAAACATTTCTTATTGATAAATGGGCAAATATTATTGGCATGAATACTCACGTTGATCAATTGTAACTATTTCATTCATCTGTTGTTCTTGGCTTGCCAATACATCTGAAAAACACATAAAAAATTTTTGTTTTCATTTGAAACCAGAAATACAAACCCCAATCTAGTAAAACTCAACTTAATAACATGATCCTTTCAAAGGGAATTCCACAATTAAAACCAAAACCAAACAAACAAAAAAGCAAGACATTAATAGAAACTTATTGGCATAAAAACCTAAATAATACTTGATATTGGCTTTATTTATAAGGAAAAGATCTCTTTAAGAGAAGTAACACAGGGAAAGCTCCAATTTCTTTTAGTGTTCAGAAAAGTTATTCAGAGAACCACGGTTTTCTAAATATAAATATCTAAATCAGTTATCTATATAAAACCATGCAAAAAAATAAAAATTGTCAAGATTGGATTAAAGAAATATATACCAAATTATTTAGATAAACCATTCCCTACCAAATTGCCTCCCTCCCACGACCTCTTACAACATCCACCTTTTTTTTTTGAGACAGAGTCTCACTTTATTGCCCAGGCTAGAGTGAGTGCCGTGGCGTCAGCCTAGCTCACAGCAACCTCAAACTCAGGCTCAAGCAATCCTCCTGCCTCAGCCTCCCAAGTAGCTGGGACTACAGGCATTCGCCACCATGCCCGGCTAATTTTTTTTTGTATATATATATATGTTAGTTGGCCAATTAATTTCTTTCTATTTATAGTAGAGACGGGGTCTCACTCTTGCTCAGGCTGGTTTCGAACTCCTGACCTCGAGCAATCCGCCCGCCTCGGCCTCCCAGAGAGCTAGGATTACAGGCGTGAGCCACCGCGCCCGGCCAACATCCACCTTTTAATAAAACATCTTTAACTTTATAATGCTTCTACTTAAAGATAGCTAAATTTTCAATAAAATTGTATTGGTCCCAAATGTTACAATTAAAAGTAAATAATTTAACATGTTTACAAATACAGCTCTTAACATAAAGATTATATTATAAAAGGTCCTAACATAAGCCTTTTCAGAATCATTCATTACTCATCTGTTGTTATTCCCTGCTTAAATGTTATTCTTTACTTTTCAAACAAGAATTGCATAACCCAATCTCTATTACTTCAGCCTATTAAAATGCCCCTCAAAAACTGCATGCTTCTCTCTTGAAATTGAAATTGTACCCTCCCTCAATCATTCTGGGTACCGAGTGAGTGCTGGAGCCTAGGCCCCAAAGAAGACTCTACTAAAGGTAGAGGGTGCCTGGTCAGGATCCAGTTCCAGACACACAAGAGCTAGAAAAGGTTAGGGAAGTAAAAAGAGGTCTGAATCCTATCTATAAGATGAGAGCTTTCTTTGGGTGTCCTGAGTTTGGGGGCTTACTTATATGAGACTAACTTCAGATAGATCTGGGTTAAAGTCTTAGGTCTCTGGATTCAACATCTCTGGGCATTATCTCATGTTTAAATGAGAAACCTACACCTACCACTTCATGAGATTGTTGTGAAGACTAAAGAAAACTGTTTTTAAGCAGCACAGTGCCTAAAACAGTTAATTTTTCAGTAAACTAAGATGTTACAGTTTTATCCAGACGCCTGGTTCTGAAAATTCTCCCTCGAACTACTATCTCTCTTGAAAAAAAAAATCTATAATTTATGATTATGGTAGATTCTCCTCAGAATTTTATTAAAGTTCCTCAAAAAGGCAAAGTGCTATTGAAATGGAGGATCCCTTGAGCCCCGGAGTTTGAGGTTGCTGTGAGCTAGGCTGATGCTACAGTACTCTACTCAGGGCAACAGAGTGAGACTCTGTCTCAAAAAACAAACAAAAAAACAACACCAACAAAAGAGAGCATCACCATCACACAGCATAGGCAAAACCAACTTATAAAATCGGTTTCTACGCCCTGATTCTCAGACTGGAGTTTGGTCTGTTTCTTGAGAACTTTCACGAACACAGAAAGAGATGAGTTTTTGAAAGCTTGTGCCTAGATCATATAGGCACTCTGAATATCATATTCCTCCTGAAGCTCCCCCAAATCCTCGCCATGCACAAAAGAAGCAAGTTTTGAGGGGCAAAGCCTTGGGGGGATATGGAGTCATTTTATGAAGAAACATCAGACATTAAAGGTATAAAGCAATTCCTTTTTCTAAAGAAAACCCTCAGCAAACTGAGACCTTTCTTTGACTTTGGTGACAGAAGACATATTCAAAACAAGAAGTACACTGTAGAACTAGTAGTACTGGGACATTTCCTAATTATCCTCTTCATATATAATACACAGTCGGGTAAGTTTCAAGATCAGGGGCACTGCAGACAGGCGGTGGCTTGGGTGGATAACCCAACACAAATATCTGAAGGAGCTCCACCTCTTCAGAACGGCTTCTCCTAGAGAGATCACTGAGGATGAACAGAGATAACAGATGCTACGTTAATAACAGTCCTGTCCCAAGAATCAGTGCCTTTCAAACTTCTCTCTAAAGGAAGAACCAGAGAGCTGAACTGTGCTCAAAGGACCCTGTTCTGAGAAGTTGCACTTGTGAATTATAGAAAGCCTGCCAGAAATACCCTTATACATCACCTGCCAGCCTCTGCATTCTGAACTGTGCATTAGATTCCCAAATCAGATGGGATTTCCCAGCCAGAGCAGGGTGAAGAATCATGGCTGGACAAGCAAGGAATTCCAGGAGACACTAATCTAGGCTGTGGGGCATTGTTGCTTTTGAAAGCAAAGCAAAAGTTCCAGAGCAAAGCTTTTCTGAGTGAGACCCATTCTTCTGCATAGAAATGGAAAGATACACAAGACTCCTTTCATTTCTGTATTAGGAAAAGCCTATGAATGAACTTAAAAGTTTGAGAAGCACTAAGAGAACCAGAAAGAGACAACCACACAAAGAACTGATGTGGGAGAGACTGGAAAACCACAAATTTGGGAAAAATGAAACTATAGTCCAAGCACTATCCATGCTGTATTGAGAATTCCTACAAAAAAAAGTATCAATAAACATGACTCATATGTTAAGAACCTGAAACAATTCAAAATTTACCTTATTCATCTGAAAAACTCTGTAGGGAAGAAAATCTGTGAAACCAAGGACAAACCTTCAACCAGGACATCAATTTATTTATCTAATGAGAACTGAAACTGGAAATAAACCCAATAAATGCAATGAATATATTATATCTTTTAGTGTCATAGATATTTTAAATATATATGTATCTGAGATAATCCATACAAGAGTAAAACTATAGACATAAACAATGAAAAGCCTCTCACCAGAGCTCACTTCTTATTCAATAGTAGAGAAGTCATCTTGGATTAAAAACTCTAAGCATTAAATGACTGTGGAAAATCCCTCCACCAGAGTTCTCTCTTTTAGGGCACACAGTATAACAAAATGCTACTGGTTACATTTTCATTCACAACTGTTACAAAAGCAAAGTCCCAGTTTCTCCTAGGCACACATTCTGAAAATTATATGGGTCTGGCTAGCATTTCGGATACACGAAACTGTGAGGGAATGGGTTACCACTATGATGTTTTAACAGATGCCTTAAGAGTCACTGAAATAATTTGCATTTATTTGAGCTCTTTCTTCTTGGATAGGCAAACAGTTCCTAATTTCTTTATATAGTTATTTAATTATAATAATAATATCTATGGAGCCTTACAAGTTATAAGTGAAAACACTTCTAACCAGTGGCTTCCAATTCAAGATGATAGTTGCACACTTACACTTCTTGCTTTCTTAAGCAAGAAAGCAAGTAAGTAAAGTTGATAGTAAAGAAATTTTTCTTCAATTGATAGTAAAGAAATTTTAAAAGATTTAATTCATTAATAATGAAGATGATGGGAGGGAAGTCACCCATGAACAAATAATCTTAAATTTCTAGAAGGTAAGCAGTAAATGGAAGAAATGACTGATGAAACAGAAGGCAATGACTAGAATATATAAAGAGGGCTAAGTGAAGGGCATGATATCTGATTTAAGAACTGGGTTGGATACCAGCTCTGCTACTCCCAAGCTCTGTAACCTTGTGGGTCTCTCAAAGCCTTACTTTCCCATCTAAAAAATAAGGAAAGTAATGATTTATGGCATCACTATAGAAATTAAAAGAGCTAATACATATAGAGTCCTCAGCACAGCCTTACACTGTTAATTATTGTTTAATAATTATTTGCTTATTATTAATAATGAATTAAGATGAAAACAAAGTTACAAAGAAAATTAAACTTAAGTTACAATGTAAATAAATAATAATTCCAATTTTATACATTTTCGAAGAAGCTCCAGATGACTCCAGAGAATTTCTCCTCGAGGGACCCGCTGAAAAAAATCTTCCTGGTTGAGACTACATAATTCTCTTCCAGAAATGTTGAGTGTGGTGAGGTCTATATCGGTCATGCTGAATTCCTTCATTACCCAAACGACCCAATGCAGGACTTGGTCTGTGGACCACTGTATGGGATCTAGAAAGAAAAATACTATCTTTAGCTTAGATATTATACGAATTTATAGTAAACTTGTCAATACAAACACATACACACAGACTTGTTTCCCCCAAGTAAGTGAAGTAAACTCATTATATGACAGAAAAAGATTTTTATGCTGTATTTGCTCCTTAGTTCCTTTTCAATTTCTTAATCTAAATTTCTGATAGTCTGGAGTTTTATCAAGAAAAACAAAATGCAGAATTGCTCTCCAGCGGACCAAATGAAAGAATAAAATATGTGATTATTTTCTGGAGAGAATGAAGTAAACTATTCAAGTTTTAAAAAATTATTTTGAAGCTACATTGAAAAAAATTATAAAGGGATTCTAGTCTTTTCCTCCCCTTTCCTTCCTTGTATAAAAAGCTGGTTGCTCTTACATGTATCCCTATGGTGGCACTTCCAATAAATAAATAAACATGCTAATTGCCTGTCCCCTCACAAGACATTAAGGTCTTAAATACAAGAACTGTGTCTTATAAACCATTCTGTCTTCAGAACCTATTACCATAGTGCCTTGCACATACATCTGCTGAATCTATAAAAAGTATATCCAAATAATTTCCTTTTTCCTATCACTATTTACTATCTAATTGAATTCACAAATGACAAAGATAGCCAACATGTATAAAATTACACATCATTGTAACCACTGGCAAATAATACAGCATTCTACCTGTGTAAGTTTAATAAATAGCTAACTTAATTTTGGTAATGGCATTCTTACTTTAAAGACATGATCTATTCAAATAGTATTGGTTATATACTCAATAACTATTTATTAAATGCTATTTAATAATATAAGTAGAAAAAATAACATTTAAGTACTTATCAAGGGCCAATTTATAGTGAAATGAATCAAACATAAGCATATAGAATTGGCAGAATTTTTTCCACAAAGAAGGGAGGAAGATTCTAGGAAGATGGTGGCAAAGTTTTTAAATTTCTCTAACAGACACATAAATACAGAAAAAGCATTTAGAGAGCAAAACAAAAAACTCATGGAAGTTTACAATAAAACCAAGTGACAAGATACCTTCAGGGACCCCAAATATACATGGGCGAAGACAAAGCAGTAACAGCTACAAGACGTCCATGTTTAGCATCTGTGTAGGAGAAAGCGAAGGGAAGGAATGGAACAGGACATCTGACCCATTCAGATGAGCACAGGAAAATCTGAATAAAGCCAAGAAGCATGCACTGAAAGGCTAAATGGGCAAGGTGAAGTCAACTGCTAAGAAGTAGTTTTGCCCAATCCAACAGCTGCTGAGTGCAAGGGTCCATAGTAAGGCCTGAAGGGTTGGAACAGTGTAAAACAGTGCCTGGGAGTTTTTCAAACTGAGCCAAGGACACTCCCAGGAGAGAGTGGCCCACTATAAGAAGAAACTGGCAGAAGCAGAATCAAAAGTGAGCAGCATTGGGACACCAAGGAAAAGCAAAGAGAAGGCCCAGATAAAAGTCGATTAAGGGAACAGATAGGAACTGAGAAAGTAAGCCACACTATTTTTGATTAGTACTTGAAAACAACAGAAGAGGGGGTTCTGTTAAGTTAGAAAAGCTATCCTGAACTACAACTCCCTTTGAAAGTCCAAGAAAGCTTTACATAAAAATGAACAAAAAATTATCAAGATCAAAAAAGTCAGGGAAAAATATTAGCTTGATTTGTCTTCTCAAATAATTAGGACTTCTGGTTTAACATAACCAATAGGCTATGCATGTTCTGCCTCTTTCCTCTAAGACTCTAGTAAAATGATAGTAAAAGAATTTGTAAAATCATAAGAACATGAGTAAAAAGTGACAGACACAGATAGATTTCAACTAATTTTTTGAAGACAATAAGCAGGGTGGTAATCAATTTATCAGAGTAGAGGAAACTATGACTTAAAATGTCTGCCGAGGAGGATACCAATAATTGAGAGAATTCCTGCCTGCAGAACTCCCTTTATTGGCTCAGGTCATGAGCAGGACAGGTTTAAAGCTGAAAATGAGGGGACCGATTTAAAGTATATGGTGTGGTTAGAATGTCCAGGACCTCTTTCTTCATTTTTGGGGGCCAGTTAAATGGGAGCAATCCACCCAAGTGGACACCAGGAACTTTATATGGGGAGAGACATGAAGCAAATACTGGGAGAATAATTCCCAGTAATAAAAGTCTACAGACTGAAGAGTGAGAGCCTCTCCACCTTCTCCCTGCCCTGACTCCCTATCTATTTCCAGAATGCAGCATTCATATGTATATCAATTCCAAAAGCTCACTCCAGTCTTCTACTCATGATAGATGTTTGGCCAATTCTCCAGAGGAGTTGAAATAACCCAAAAAAGATCTACACATAGTGACACATTTGAGTATCTCTTAATGAAATGGCCAATATCTCATTTTACCAGTGGATAGTAAACAAATCCTTCAGAACTTCAAATTAGTTAGCTTTAAAGTTATTCACTCTTAAATGTGAACAGATGGGCAAGAATAACCAGATATTTGAGAGACTAAAAACAAGTCATTAAACAAACAAAATAAACCCAGAAAAACAGAACCCAGAAGCAGCAGCAATAATGCAGTAACACATTTTTAAAAGTTAAAAAAAAAAAAACACACTATAATTAACATACTCAAGAGAGGAAGAGAGGTAAGAGAAAACACAATATACATAAGATCAGAATTCTGCAGAAAGGAAGTTGTTACAGCATAGAGACATTTGCAATTGTATGTTTTTTGCAGCACAATTCACAATTGCAAAGATAAGGAATTAACAGATTAATGGAAATGGGACAAAAGATATACTATACATTAAAATATAAGTCAATATTGAACCTTAGATAAATTAAAAGTTGTATAAATGCAATCATGGTCATACAATAATACATACATATTCATAAGGTGCAAAATTGCCTCATGATTTAAATGAAAGTTATACAACAATATTAACAAAATGAGAAAAGGAAAGGTTTTATTTTATTCTATAGTGGAGAGAAGTATAAAGTAGCTATAACCAGTTAACCATGTTTCAATTTTGCACAGAATTAAGAAATTAGCAAAAGAACTACTCATAGGCACAGAAATAGAAACTTGAAACAATCGCTTCCTAAGAAAATATTAAACATTTTTAAATTTCTATTAATAGCAGGTAACAATTTCATAGCAAAAAAACCATCAATGATTTTTAAAGTCTTCCTATAGCTAAATAAATCTCAAGTGTTTCAAAAGAGCTTTATTTTAAGCAAGTAACACTCCTGGTAAAAACTTTCAGTCAGAGTTTATAATCTTGCTTTCTATAATTCATTTTTTTTTTTTTTTTTTTTTTGAGACAGAGTCTCGCTTGTTGACCAGGCTAGAGTGAGTGCCGTGGCGTCAGCCTAGCTCACAGCAACCTCAAACTCCTGGGCTCAAGCAATCCTTCTGCCTCAGCCTCCCGAGTAGCTGGGACTACAGGCATGTGCCACCATGCCCGGCTAATTTTTTATATATATATTAGTTGGCCAATTAATTTCTTTCTCAGGCTGGTTTCGAACTCCTGACCTCGAGCAATCCGCCCGCCTCAGCCTCCCAGAGTGCTAGGATTACAGGCGTGAGCCACCGCGCCCGGCTATAATTCATTTTTATACACTACTTTTCACAGAAGATTCTGCTGAAGAGCTCTTGTTGAAAGTATAGCAAACTATGTAAAAATATTGTTTCAAACTTTTTATGCTCCCCTCTTTCATTCTCAGCATTTCCTCTCTCAAGAGAGGACCGCCAACTTACTAAGACAAAGGTCAAGTACATCATACACACCAGCTTCCACATGTTAAAAATAAATAACTTAATCCTTTCAACCATCTTGTCTTTTTTCCTCTTATTTCTCTCAGGAATAGCTATATCTCATCCTTCCAACTGGGTTCTTTGATCTATTGTTAGGCTTCAATTAACAACTCAACGAAGAAGTCCATTTCATCTACAAATACACTCAGGTCACAACCAACTCTTGAATCATCAATATTATTTTATGTAACCTCAGCACTCTTCCTCATCTGCCCCCCAGAAGTTTATATTCAATTTTCTCCATTTCTAAAATGTCTATATCTTACAATTCTGCTTTGTCTCACCACTTCAGTTATTTTTGTCTAACTTTGTCTAACAAAGACCTTCTTATCACCAAATTTAACAGATACTACTAAATCAGCATTACTTTGACTTTCTCAGCAGTGTCTTGACCATCCAAACTCCTCTCAATTTCAGTGCGCCTATATACAGTTCTTATTTTCCTTCTATCTCTTCAGCTATTTCTTGTCTCCTTTCCTTTTCTCTAATCCTGAATGTTTACAGGACCTAGGAACACTGTTCTCTTCCATTTCTCGCTCTCCATCAGAGACTAGATAGACTTTTATGGTTTCAAATACAAAATCATTGTGAATGAGTCCCATACAACATCTTTATTTTTTTTTTTTTAATATTTTTTTTTTGAGACAGAGTCTCGCTTTCTTGCCTAAGCTAGAGTGAGTGCCGTGGCGTCAGCCTAGCTCACAGCAACCTCAAACTCCTGGGCTCAAGCGATCCTGAGTCCCTCCCGAGTAGCTGGGACTACAGGCACGAGCCACCATGCCCGGCTGATTTTTATATTATATATATTAGTTGGCCAATTAATTTCTTTCTATTTTTATGGTAGAGATGGGGTCTCGCTCAGGCTGGTTTTGAACTCCTGACCTTGAGCAATCCGCCTGCCTCGGCCTCCCAGAGTGCTAGGATTACAGGCGTGAGCCACCGCGCCCAGCCCATACAACATCTTTATCTCCAGCCCAAACCTATATACCTGAAATCACTTTCTGGCTACCTCTAGTTGAACATACACTTTGACTTCAAAATCAAGTGCTATTAACACTTTCCCTTGAAAAACTTTCTCCTTGAAAACCCTTTCCCCTACCGGATTTCCCTACTACCTCAACCAGGCTTTCACAGGCATGTTCTGCCTTGTGCACCATCATAAGCCCAGCATTTAATATAGTGCCTGGCATATTGGTAGTGTTCACTAAACATGTAATGAAGATGTAACCAATTTTTATCAAGATTATTATTGCCTTAGTCACCAAGATCAAGCTTCAGAAGTTAGATCAATACTCTACCCTCATACAATCTGTCAATCTGCTCAGTCCTATCACTGTTTTTATCCATTTCTTCCTTTTTTTACTCCTAAAGAAATCACCTGGTTTAGGCTAATCTAGGTATTATCTAGTCACAGCTACACAACTAAAATAAATGCTCGCTCCTATTTTCCCTTCACAGTCTCTACCTGTTCCAACTTATGCCATATACCACTGTCACTTCATTTTTCAATTATCACTTTCATCAATCAAAAACAATTCTATAATGCTACAAAGTAACTCCTCATCCACCAAATCTTCTATTTATACATACCCCTCCAACTAAGCTTTGCATATACCAATTCCTAACTGGAATACCCTTCTCTGCCCAACAGTTTCTTATCTATAATAAACTTTCCCCTAATTTCCCCCCAGGCCACTATGATCCCTTTGAGATCAATAGCATGCTGCTTCTATATGAGTTATCAGCAGCTTAAAAACATGTTACCTTTTATGGCGATTATCTCTCTTTTTTTATGGCAATTATCTTTACTCTCTTCAACTATACTGTGAACACCCTAAGAGCAGACTCTTTTTTTTTTTTAATATTTCTTTGTATTTCCAGCAGCCAGGACAATATTTATCCATCATATGGTCTTAAATGTGTGTTACAGTTGGAGGGATGGGATAGGGACGGGGACAGGGATAGAGACTAGGGGTGGGGATGAGACAGAAAATTAACATTCTTCCTAAAAATTCTATATTCAAAATAGAATACAACTTACCCTAGTGTCTTCTATGTCAAGCTTAATTCGTATTATTCTACCTAACATATAATTACGTATTTTATTACCATAGGGTATCCCAAGGCGTTCTTGTTCTTTCCTATAACCTTCTAGTGCAGCAGCCCATCTTGTCACTTGTTCTGAGGTTTCATCTGAAATGGTTGTGATGTGTTTTGTGCCATCAAGAGTTATGACTTGAGCTTCCTCAACAAGATGTGCTTCTGATTCAGCATGGTGGGCATCTGGATCAATAACTACTTCAACAGTGTCCGCAGGTTTAACAATTTCAAGGATGTTTAGCTTTGGCTCAATTCCTTAATAGTGGATAAAAAAAATTATAAATGAAAACACAAAAGTCACCAAAAAAAAATTTAATTTAGTTTATATGTTCCCAAATAGTAGAGAAAAACTACCTTTTAAAATATTTTTAGCAATATGTATAGAGAATTTAACAGATCTCTAAAAAGAATAAATACACTTCAATAGAACTTTTGTAGTAACAGTACTATGTCAATATTTTCTGATTTTAGTAATTGTACTGTGGTCAGATAAAGAATTCTCATTTTTAGGCAAACATATACATTGATATGTTTAGGGATAGAAGGCAATCATGTCTGCAGCTTATCCTTAAGCAGTTCAAAACAATAATGTGTGTGTAGGGAGAGATTAAAGCAATTGTAATAACAGTTAACATTTAGGGAACCTGGGTGTGAAGAACAGCTAGGAATTATTTTACCAGCAACTTTTCTACAAGTCTAAAATAATTTTTTAAAAAAATAACACAGCCACAACAAACTCCACCTACAAACCCTATCCCACCCTTTCTACCTATCACTAGAAAAAAAAAGTACCAGGTCTTACTCCAATAAAATTTTAAAAACAAATAAAAATTACCAATATGGAACAAAAAATAAAAACTAGACTAGGGAAGAGTATAAATGAGTAGCTACCCATAATCAGGATTTTAAAAATCCTTCTAAGTAAATTAAAATTATGTACCAGCTAAGCTTTTCTTTTTATTTTATTTTATTTTTTTTTTTTGAGACAGAGTCTCACTTTGTTGCCCAGGCTAGAGTGAGTGCCGTGGCATCAGCCTAGCTCACAGCAACCTCAATCTCCCGGGCTGTGATCCTTCTGCCTCAGCCTCCCGGGTAGCTGGGACTACAGGCATGCGCCACCATGCCCGGCTAATTTTTTATATATATATCAGTTGGCCAATTAATTTCTTTCTATTTATAGTAGAGACGGGGTCTCGCTCTTGCTCAGGCTGGTTTTGAACTCCTGACCTTGAGCAATCCGCCCGCCTCGGCCTCCCAAGAGCTAGGATTACAGGCGTGAGCCACAGCGCCCGGCCTAAGCTTTTCTTTTTAAAGGACAAAGAATATGTGTTAAAAATGGTGCCAAGTTTGTTAAATTAAATTCATATCATTAAATTCTGATTTTCACTTTCAATTGAATGAGGAAAAACTTGGATCCTAGAGATATTCAAATCCCAGTATAAAGGTGTTAAGAACTATAATTCATATGGAAAAAAAAATAAAGATGAGGTAAATTATTTACCTCAATGTCTCTTTACTCAAAATTAAAACATTTGAATATGTGAGTCGGAAATTAGAATTAAGCTAAGAAATTATGCTATAAAAGCAGTTATTTTATTTAGTCATGTCTACACAACTCTCTATGATATGCTATTATTTATCTATTCCAAATAGAATAAACTAGCCCTTCATGAAATAATCTCATATACTAATGTTAAAATGACAGGTCTAAGAAACTATGATGTTATATAATAGCTATTGTTGCTTATTAAATTTGTTACAATCTATATCAAAATTTAATCAAAGTACATTTGAAAGAAAAAGCAAAGCTCAATTTGGATCACCCGTGAAAACCAGCATAAGAATATGTACTATCATTCATTAGGTGATATAATCACTTTTTCAAATATACATAGAAATAATCAGAATTTTTTTTTATCTCAACCTACATTGCTCAGGAATAATCAGAATTTTAAAAAAATATTTTCTTAAGATTTATTCCCTAATCCTTCATAGAAATTTCATACTTTTATGGCTTCAAGAAAACTATTTTTAAACACACTTGTACCAAGAGGTCCCTAGGCTTTTAAAGATAAAAACAACAAATTTCTTTCCTATTCTCAACAACATTTAGGGAAATTAGGGATCAGAAGTAGATAACTACCATTTTCAGCATCTGAACAAAACTGTGGTTTGTGAAACATAATTGTGAGTAATATAGTATGTTCAGAGACTAAATCATTCTAAAACTCTTATTAGAAATCACAAGCCACATTTTAAAAAACCAAAATTCAATCTACTCAAAATAGATTTTCCTATTAGTAAAATACTATGATCGATAAAGGGCTGACTAGGTGACTCTACATCTGTTGCAAATTCCTTCCTGTGCTATACTGTAGAGACTGGAGTTCCTTGCAGCTAGGATTCCAGATGTGATTTAGGCTTTCAGAATCACTGGTGTAAGCTTTCTATTTGAAAATGAGTTAAGAGGGGGCAAGCAGGCAGGACATCCATTTTTTTGACTAGTGTGGATCACTGTAAAGGCAGCATCGGTTCCAAGTTGACAGCTACAGTGGTAGCTTTCAGCTGTGATATTTTCCAGATCATGGGAGCACAGCAGCTTCCTTTGCAGTCCAGTTCTACAGTGTAGCTGTGGCATTCTTAGGAAGCCTGCTAGAATCTGTTCTTTTAGCCCTCTCTGTGATTCTGCTATGTACAACTGTATATTATATATTATATATAATACTGTATAATATATCCCTTTATGATTACACTCAGTGAGATATGTTATACTATCTGCTTCACCTTGTCAGAAACACCAAATAAACCAAATGCATAAGTATTTGGCTATAAAGTCACATTAAGTAATTTAGACAATCATCTAATACACCAAAAACTTTAAAAGTGAATAATCGTATCAGAAAACCATGAGCCAAACTTTTAAATAACTATCACTAAAAAAGTTTCTTACCTTGGTAGGAAATTACCTGTACACTAAGCTGTACAGTTCCATCTGTCTTTACTCCTTGGTCAAATAAACTTCTTTCTGGATCCAGCTAAGTGAACATGGATAAAATGAATAAAATTATTTTAGCTTAATCATTAAAATCCTTGTTTCTACTTTAGCACAAATGGAGGTACCAAACAGGACTTAATTACTTAGCATACTAATTAAATTATAAGAACAAATTACCCAAATTATAATATCATTTAATTCTTTGCCAAAATTTAAAATATTTTAATCACTGAGGTAGTAATCAAGGACAGCATAAACCATCAAATTTATTTTAAATGCAGTTTTCTCTAGCTCTGGAGTCTAGTTTATGATCTTAAATAATGCCAAAGGCAATTATTCATTCTGTAAATGTATTTAAAGTGAAGATAATGCTACATCTGTCATGAATAAGCCAGGGTGTTTAATTAATGGTGACAATTTATCTAAATATGTTAATATATTGTCATATTACCCTTGTAACCAATGTTACATATTGAAGATCAGGGTTTACTCTAAATTTGATCACAAAGTTTATAAAATTAAAGGAGTTATGACCTTATTTCTTGACCTAGTTATAAACACATTTAATCATAATTCTATCTCATTTCAGTATTAGTGCTTTTTTTCCTTCATATATCCTTACAATGAATGCATTTCAAACAATAGTAAACTGATGATAAAAAGTAATTCTGACTTTGAGACACTTTCTGTCACCAGCTTAAAAACAGGTTCCATTATAATTATATTGAATAATATATATCTGTGTGTCTGCATCATATAGCTGAAGGTACAAAGCTCCTCCCACTCTCATTCACAAGAATTCAACTGAAAACTATAGTCATGGTACAAACACATGGCTTAAGTGACTATCTGTCTAACTTGAACAGGAACAAGACAAACTGTTTGACTCTGTAGACAGATTGGTTAAACGTGGCAGTTTCAGTCCTTAATGTAACAATCTTTGTCTAACATTTTGTTAAAAATTCTCCTAACATCAATTTTTTCTCCTTGTCTAGTAGACACTGATATTACCCACTAGAAGCTATGGCAGGTGTACTGTGAAAGTAAGCTCTCAGGTATTGAATACTATAGCTAGTTTACTATGAGCTGGCACAGGACAAAACTCAACCAGTGTTTGACCTTGTGGCATATGGTTCAAAAAAGTGCAAGTTAGCTGTTCTATCAGTTTTCACATCACCACACTACTGAAAATACAAAAGCATACCACAGCAGCAAGCATTCTGACTTCAAATGTATGTTTGCACTAATTGACATGGAGAACAGAAGTTGTCATCCCGTGTTTTTTTTTTTTAAGACACAGTCTCACTCTCTTGCCTGGCTTAGAGTGCCATGGTGTCAGTTTAGCTCACAGTAACTTCAAACTCTGGGCTCAGAGAGCCTCCTGCCTCAGCCTCCCAAGTAGCTGGGACTACAGGCATGTGCAACCATGCCCGGCTAATTTTTTCTATTTTTTAGTATAGACGGTCTCACGATTGCTCAGGCTGGTCTTAAACTCCTGAGTTCAAAGGATCCTCCTCCCTCCTCGGCCTTCCAGAATGCTAGGATTATAGGCGTGAGCCACCGTTCCCAGCCATCTCATATCCTTTTTGAGAAAAGGGGCAGGGAGTAATGCAATAATGCCCTTAGATCCAAAGCTAGCTCTGAATTCTATAACACTATGAATTACACACATTTCCATTTACCCAACTAATATTTATTGAGAACCTATGATAGGTCGGGTATTTTGTGGGCCATACTTTCATTTTGGATAGGTCAGGTATTATAAAGGGAAGTAACAAACGTTAGAGCTTGTTAGAGTGTGAAGTCCATACAAAGGTGAGAAAGATTCCTCAAAGTTTAGGATAGAAAGAAGCACAGAATTTATTTTACTCCTTCTCTGAAGAAAAGGAGGGCACAGCGCCAGAAATAAGAGAAGTGCTGGTGAGAACTGAAGTGGGGAGCTCTCACCTCTACTGTCTGCTTAGAGCTCTTTTAGGCTAAGAAAACAAAACTCTTAGAGATAACAAGTTAGACCACAGGTGTTTAATTAAACAAAGGGCAATTGTGTTATAAGTTTCCTCGTCAAAGGGGCAATTAAGTGCTGTGAGTTTATTTCTCTTAATTTGTATTAAATATTAATAGTTTATTAGTAAGACCACCTTTCAGAGCTGAAAGACAACTAAGAGATCACCAAGTCCAGATTCCACTTTATTTTACATATGAGCAAAATCAGGTAAAGTCCAGTGACACTGAGTTATTCACAATAAACCTTTAAAAAGTCGGCCTCAAACAAGTGAAGAGAGTTCTAGAGTCATACAGGCCTAGTCAAATTCCAGTGCACCCTTCAGTAGCTACACACTGGGCAAATTATTTAACCTCTTTAAATCTTAGTTTCTACATCTGCAGAATATGATTAAGAATATGTTGATTACAAAGACTGAGGTGAGGATTAAGTGAGATAAGTAAGAAGTGTTTTACAAGTATTTTTTTTATTCAACGTATCCTGCCCACAAAGCTCTAGTTCACCAATTTTTAACAACTACCTTGAATTCAAATCTATGGAATTTATTTATTGAATCCCCTTTTTGGAATATTTCGGTTGTTTTCAGTTTTTGCAAAACCATGAATGAACATCTTCATACATACACCTTTGCCCACCCAGATGAGGATTTCTATAGGAACAATACATTGAGGTGGAAATATTAGGTATTTTACATTTAACATTAATAAATACTAATGTTTTACCTTCCAAAAAGATTATGCAAATTCATCCTCTCACTGTTAAGTGAGGATCTTAAATCCTAAAATTATATTACTAGACCTACCTCCGTTCCCTAATTTTAGAAGAGCCCCCACCACTCATAATTACTAGATTTATTTTGAAAGGAAAAGATTAAAGTATGGTTAAATGGCAACTAAAATATTAAAAATGAAAATATTTCAACTTACCATACAACAATATCTTATTAAAATAGTAGCAGTATACGATGATTTGAATTTTCAAAAATCTAAGGCAAAAGTTCTATTATATCAGAAACAGCCATATCATAAGGCAGGAAGGGGGAGGAGTAAAGAATAAAACAAAAAAAGCTGGTCCAATGGTAGTGGGTTATCAGAACTTATTAACATTAGTTTCACTAAAATTGGTATTCAACTCCCTACTGTTAAATTTGGCTACAAAGAAAAAAAAAAGAAAAAGAAAAAACAAACAAAATAATCTCAAAGATGACATAATATATAATACATTAGTATAAGTTAGTATAAAAAATATAAAACTCTAGTACTTACTCATATGTTTAAGGAAGGTCATGGAAAACTATTTGAGCAATCCTATTTAGGATACTACCTTTTTTTTTTTTTTTTTTTGAGACAGAGTCTCGCTTTGTTGTCCAGGCTAGAGTGAGTGCCGTGGCGTCAGCCTAGCTCACAGCAACCTCAAACTCCTGGGCTCAAGCGATCCTCCAGCCTCAGCCTCCCGAGTAGCTGGGACTACAGGCATGCGCCACCATGCCCGGCTAATTTTTTTATATATATATATCAGTTGGCCAATTAATTTCTTTCTATTTATAGTAGAGACGGGGTCTCGCTCAGGCTGGTTTTGAACTCCTGACCTTGAGCAATCCGCCCGCCTCGGCCTCCCAAGAGCTAGGATTACAGGCGTGAGCCACAGCGCCCGGCCTAGGATACTACCTTTATACATAAAAATACTACCTTTCTTGAAAGAGTACCATAAAACATGAATATGAATATTTTTCTAAACATATTATAATACTGCCATGGGTAAAATCCTATTGCAATAAATCCAAGAAATATCAGTTGATATTTAAATTCTGTGTTTTTTTTGTTTTTTTTTTTTTTTTTGAGACAGTCTCACTTTGTTGCCTAGGCTAGAGTGAGTGCCCTGGCATCAGCCTAGCTCACAGCAACCTCAAACTCCTGGACTCAAGCGGTCCTGCTGCCTCAGCCTCCCAAATAGCTGGGACTACAGGCATGCACCACCATGCCTGGCTAATTTTTTCTATATATATATTAGTTGGCCAATTAATTTCTTTCTATTTATAGTAGAGATGGGGTCTCGCTCTTGCTCAGGCTAGTTTCAAACTTCTGACCTCGAGCAATCCGCCTGCCTTGGCCTCCCAGAGTGCTAGGATTACAGGCATGAGCTACCGCGCCCGGCCAGATATTTAAATTCTTATCTAAAATTTACTGCCAGAGAAAGTAAAGATGAAAGGGAAATATAAAAATCATTAGTCAAATGATCTTTTTTTAAAGATAAGGAAACTGATGCACAGAAGTTAAAAGCTAGCTAGAAATATACTTCTTCAGTTTCCAAAGTTAATTTGTTTCCCACTACTCTATATTTAAGTTCATATTCCAATTTATTTAAACTTCTCATTTTATATTTAAAAAAGCAAAACAACAAATGTTTGATTTAGTATTCAATCTTTTAAATATAATTTTATATGGAGGAAATTTTGCTGAAAAAATGTGTTTTATTTCCAAATGCTTAAATTTTATAGTAATACAGGTCAAATCAACTTACAGAGAGAAAAGCTATAGCTATAGGAATAAAATGCTAACAAAGCATATTCCTATTCAGAATGAAATAGTGAAATTAAAAAAAAAAATACCTGGATATCTTGCAGGCAAATTTCATGAGCATCCAAAGAACACTGTAGTCTTGGTTCTAGTAGTTTCTTTAAATTGCCTATTGGTTCATTGATGTCTATGGCCTGGCTTACACATTCAGCTGGGGCGTAGGTTTGTTCTACAATGCTAAATGTTAAAGGACATAAGGTTAACAATTACATTTTTACCCTGGATATTAAAGTAACAATAGGCTCAAAATAAAATCCAATATCAAAACACATTTTTGGCCTTTGAAAACTCATTTCCACAGATAACTATGGTAGGCTTATCACCAAAGAGTGCTGCTAAAGTGAACACCGAATTTTACAGAGAAATGCTAGCTTGAAATTTAAAGCATCCTTGAAAATATGCTTCATTATGTACAAACATATGTATATGTGTATGTCTACACATATAAATATTACATATACATTATTTAAGGGAAAATGTTTGCATTTACATTACATTTTCAAGTGATTTTGAACAATTTTCACCCAAAAGAACACACTGTCTCCTCAAAATTTGTGTGCTATCTCTACTAGTCAATTTCCCTTCCCAACATATATAAAATTTAATAAATGTAAAACAATAACATATGAACATACAAATTAAATACTTTGCATTTAATTTCATCTGAACATAACTGGTTATAATCAGCACAGCTCCACATTTAAAAAACAAAATATGTAGTCAGGCATGATGGTGCACACCTGTGATCCCAGTGGCTTGGGAGGCTGACACAGGTGGACAGTTTGAGGCCAAAGAGCTCAAAGTCACAATGAGCTATGATTGAACCACTGTTCTCCAGCCTGGGTGACAGAGCAAGATCCAGACTCTTTTAAAAAAACAAAACAAAGTGATTTGTATTCTTCTTCAAAACTCTCTTAGAGCTCTTCTGTATTGTTATTTTACACTTTGAATTCAAAAGAGTTAAATCTTTGGTAAGTAATTCTATATATCTTTTGCGAATCCTTCTATAGGGCCAAACAGAGGATAGACACTAAGTGGTATTTGCTGAATTTGTGAATGTGAAATTCAATTAAGTTTCTAACATGGTTAATTAAAATATGATTTAAATCTCATTTGCAATTATCAAAAACAGTGTGTATTAAAAATTTGTCAAGTTCCATTTTCACATAAATTCCAAGTATAGTGAGATATATGCATGATAGTCAATGAATGTATATAGCTCTAATTTTTTCAAAAACACTTAAAATTTATAGAACAGATCACACATGCTGAAAAACAAGCTTTTTTTTTTTTTTTTTGAGACAGAGTCTCACTCTGTTGCCCAGGCTAGAGTGATGTAGCATCAGCCTAGCTCACAGCAACCTCAAACTCCTGGGCTCAAGCTATCCTACAGCCTCAGCCTCCCGAGTAGCTGGGACTACAGGCATGCGCCACCATGCCCAGCTAATTTTTTCTATATATATTAGTTGGTATAGTAGAGACGGGGTCTTGCTCTTGCTCAGGCTGGTTTAGAACTCCTGACCTTGAGCAATCCACCCACCTCGGCCTCCCAGAGTGCTAGGATTACAGGCATGAACCATGCGCCTGGCCTTAAAAAACAAGCTTATTTTAAAATAATGGTATACTATTATTATTTATTAAGAAAAGAAGAAACTGGGTATTTCAACTAAACATTTTTACCAAATTCTTCAGCTAGAGCACAGTAGGCTTATTTTATTTATTCATTTTTTTGTAACAATGATTCTTAAGATTCAGATGTTGCTTTAAGACAGACTTTTAAAGAACTATTTTGTATCTGCTAAACAAATTTTTAAAAATTTTTTGATTCTATCATTTAAAACTTGAAAGACTCCATACACAAATCTGAATCACCAATTTCTCTTGAAAAACTGTGGATGGCCAGGCACATCTAAACTTTGTGGCTTTATAGAGATTATCTATAACTTTCTTTTTATCCAGTTCTTTTTATTTTCAGTATATTATCTTATCTCCTGCTTTACAGAGTAAAATAAGGACCATTAGCTATTATTTTTGTCAACCTTCTTATTGACTCTCAAATCTCCATTTCTACCCATATTCTCTCCTTGGATTCTGAATTCACTACTACTGCTCTCCTTTCAAATAAGAAAGATCCTATTACTATTCTAAGAATTTACACATTTTACTACACTTTATGCTTAGTACTGTGCAAATAATTAATCATATGTATGTCTCCTCAAATAGTGTGGCCTCTATAAGGGCAGATGAGTATCTCATTTATTCATATATTCCTTTAATTCCTGTAATATTCATATATTACTAGTTTATAACAGTTACTTATAAATATTTATTATACTATTTCAGGTTGAATTAAACTCTTTCTGAAATAAAAATAATGAGCACTGAGGAAAGGAAAAAATAATCAAATAGTACCCCTTAATGGAAAAACCTATTCAAAACTATCAGTGCTTGACCATTATTAGTTACACTTATTACTACCTTTAGTTTAAAACTGTCTTTCCCTCTCAGCTATAAACCCTTTACATCAGAGGCAAAAAAGCAATTCATTATCCCCTAAAATGCTGAGATCAATTTAAGAAAAAAGCCCAAAAGAACTATGGCTTGATTCCTGATTTTAATTAGGTATATTGATATTTAGAAAATGACCAGCCTAAGCAAAATAGCAAGACTCTGTCTCTACAAAAAATATAAAAACTAGCTAGGCACGGTGACATGCGCCTGTAGGCTCAGCTACTCAGGAGGTTGAGACAGGCGGATCACTTGAGCCCAGAAGCTATGATGATACCACTGCACTCTAGCTCAAGCAAGAGACACTCTGTCTCAGAAAAAAAAAAAAAAAAAAGATAAATTCAGAAAACACCAACCTTTCTTCTGTGCACTCTGGTTTCTCTGTTCCATCGATCTCAATTTCTATCAGCTCCTCTGCTTCTCTTTTAGTCATGGCTGAAGTATTTCAAAAGACCAATCCTGCAAGAGTTAAATTTTAAGAGATTTTGAAATTATCTGCATAAACAAAAATGATACACAAATAGACTCCCAATTCAAATAAAATCATAGGGCAAGCAGAAGAGGGAGAAGTAATCTTCACATGTACAAGAAAATCCACAATGACATTTATAAACATTTTATTTAACTGGTGATTATTAGCCTGACATGACAACTTCATCATTTTATTGGATTCATTGGTCTATTTTTTGCCCAACTTCAGTCAATAAGTTAATTCAAGTTACTTCAAAATCAAGTGAGAACTACACACTAAAGCAACTCATAATCTCAATAACAGATTTAAACATGAAGCTTAACATGGACATGAACTATAACTGCTCAGCTAAAAGTTGTGTCTTATTAGCAGAATTTACTGCAAAGCATTGCACTGATAGAGTCATATACATATATTAATTATGGCTAGGATCTGTGCTATTAATTACATATTTTATAAATGCAATTACAAACTCATAGAACAGCAAAATAAAGTAACAAGTGATAGATATGTACACTATTGCCCTGATTATACACACTAAAATTATTTAATGATTTATTTTTTCAGATGTGGTTTTAAACAAACCACTACTTCAGTTTTTAATTATCTCATGTAAAATTATTACCTACTGCTTTAAATGACCATTGATAGAAAAGCATTATAATTTTAAAAATGTTAAGTAATGTATATATTGCATATACTGGTATTTCTTTGTGGCCATTTCTAAAGTGTTAATTCTGTAAGTTTCAGGTTCTGTTACTAACTACCTCACTGTAGGTCAACAAATTTATCTTTGTCCAGAGCACCTTCAGAATAGTTTTCTAAGTTTACTAAGGCATCTAAAAATGGCATTATCTTAGACTTATATGAAATTTGGTATTCCAACATTTGCAAAGTAGTCTGTGTTCACACTTACAAGACTGACAAGATGAAGAATTCAAATATTCATTCCTATTAACAGCTATTATATATTGAGCATCAGGCACTGCAATCAAATGCTTTACATAGAGTAATCTTGTTTTGAGCCCACCCTTGTATGAATACTATCCCTAGCCCAGTGAGGCTAAATCACCTGTGGCTCCATAATGTCACATGTTAGGTGGGTGTATCGACCTAGTATACAGTATTCCACCCAACCTAAGTACACATTCCAGGTGGGACCAAACCATGCTTTGTTCAAAGACAGGCTCTGTATTGAATATAGGCCTTACATGATCTCCCCCCATTCCCACCTCATTATCACTGACCCCCTCTACTACACTAACCCCTTTGCTTGTCCTTGCATCTTCTTGCCCTATGCTCTTTGCTCTCACTGTTTAGTCTGCCTGGATCCTACTTCCCCAAAATGCTCTCTTGGCAAAATCCCTTACCTCTTTAAAGCCTCTCCTCAAATCTCATCTTCTCAATGAGATTTACTCTGACCACCCCCAATGAATTCTGTAATATCTCTTTTTTACCCCTTTTTCTTTTCATAGCACTTGCCCTTTAGCATGCTATATCATTAATTTATGATATTTATTGTCTTTCTTTCCCTTTTGGATCTTTATCAAAGTGCAAAATTGTCCAAAAGTGACCAAAGGAACTTAAATTGGCTTGTCTGGACTGGGGACTTCCCCTACCTTCTTGAAGAGGGAGGGACCTCAATTTCTCAAGGGATGGAAGTCTCTGTGGTAGGCAGAATAATGACCTAGAACCTGTAAATAAGTTGCATGGCAAAGGGGAATTAAAGTTGCAAATGGAATTAAGGTTACTAATCAACTGACCTTAAAATATAGAGATTATCCTGGATTATCAGGTAGGCCAAATGACAGCACAAAGGTCCTTAAAAGTGGAAGAGGGTACTGGACGAGAAAGCCAGTGATTCGAGAAAGCCAGTGATTTGATGTGAGGACTTGACAGGTCTGCTGTGACTTCACTGGCTCTGAAGATGGAGGAAAGCTGCCATAAGCTAAGGAACACAGGTAGCTTCTAACAACACAAAGAACAGATTCTCCCTTAGAGGCTCTAGAAGAAATGCAGCCCTGCCAACATCTAATTTTAGACCAGAGACACCCATTTCAGAGTTCTGACTGCCATGAATGCAGGATAATAAACTGGTGTTTTTAAGCCACTAAATTTGTAGTAGCACTAGGAAACCAACAGTCTCCCTTTCTACTTCAGAAAATGCTATCACTCTTCTCAGGTCTCAACATCTCTAACTACTGTGTAGCTGGTTTTCTGAAAACTTAGTCTGTAAATAGCTGGCACCAAAATCTAGACTGCCTGGTACAAAAGTGATCTGATTTTCCCAACAGTATTTAGGTTGCTCTCACACTTGTCCTATAAGGACACACAATAAGAGGGTAATGTTACCCACTTGAATAGACCATGCAAGTCTAGCAGATTGTCTAGGCTCCAGCAGGTTTCTTTTTGCGATGATGAAAGGATGAAGAACCTTTGTTTTCTTGTCTTGCAGATGCTGGCCTAAGAAAGAAGTCCTCCCTTTCCCCAAATAAAGCCTATTCCCTAATAGGTGCTATGTGTAAAATTGTGGAATTCATCCTGAGTGCTAATTAAAAGTGCTAAACAAATGGTGGCCCAATAGGGACCTATCTTGTAGAATACCATAAGCTACAGAAGTGCAGAGATAAATTTGTTCACAAATTTATACAAAGTACTTTCCACAGAGCCTACCCTCAGTGGGCACTCTATTAATATGTGTTGAATAAATGAATGTTATAAGGACTATTTCACACTACATAAAATGGACTATAGATACCACAAAGGCTTAAACATAAAAGGTAAAACTATGAAGTTAATAGAAGGAAATGACAGGGACTTCTTTGTGGTCTAAGGGTAGAAAAGGATTTCTTAAATAATATTCCAAAACCAGAAACCATAAGGAGAAAAACTGAGGGATTTAATGACACAAAAATTAAGATTTATCTTCAATAGACAGGCTACAGAATGAGAAAGTATTTCCAATACCCCAAAATGACAATGGACTAATAAATGGAATAACAATCTCCTGAAGTTGATAACCAAAAAACCAGTCAAGACAAGTTAGAATAGTAGGCAAAGCATAGGAAAAGGAAATCCACATAAAGGGAAACCAGAATGGCTCAGGATATGAAGAAATGTTCAAATTCAAATCATTCAAGAATGCAATTTACAAAGACCTTGTGTATGTATGGCAAATGACAGAAAGTTAAATGATAAAAGTAGAGACTTGGGGATGTAATACAGTTCTAGATATTCTGGAAAAAAATCTAGCAGCTCTTACAAATCAAGCAAGCTTATACTTATGACCCAGCTATTTTGCCCCTAGATAAGCATTCCAGAGAAATTCACAAATTGTTTGATAGTAAGATGTTCTGGGCAGCTATTTTGGCCACAGCTAGAAGCTGGAGCTAATCCCAGTACCCATGGTGAGAAAGTATCCATAAAATAAAATGTGGAAAAAGCACACACTATGGAATTCTAGTACTAGTTTAAAACAAGGAAATAATGTCCACACAAAATTAATAAATAAATTATCAAAACTGCTCTGTATAGAAAAAAGTGAAGTCAATAGGTTTATAGCAGAATAGCGCTTTAAACATCTTTTATTTTTAGGACTTATAAAGAGGTTCATTTCCATCTCCATATCCAATTTTTAAAAAAAGATTAGAAAACATGTATGTTCTGGGAACTTGGCAAAACAGAAAAGCATAAGAAATATAATAGCCAGTGACTGAGAAATGGCCCTAATACTTTATCAGCACCGCCACAGAGGGCTCCCCTGATATAAGCACTAAAATAGGAAGTTGTTAAAAAAAAGTTTATCCTATGATTTTCCAAAGTCATAAACCAGTCCCTAAAAAGTGCCAAACAGAGAAGAAAAAAAAAAAAAAAAGAAAAAGAAATAGAACCCATACCATTCTGGAGAAAAATCATGTTACTCAGTCTCTTAACTGATTGATCTTTCTCTCTCTCTCTCTCCCAGTTCTCTAAACTTAGCCTAGCGGAACAATGGAGAGATTTGGGAAATAGTCCAAATCTTTTATATTGGTTCTTGAGAGGGTCTTAGCTGTTTTTCTGCAATCAATCCCCTGGGATTCTATGTCAATACTTAAGAAAATAGAGATGAGACAATTGCTTGGAGTCTCTCCATCTAAGGGCTGCTCCTTTCATAACTACATAGAACTTTGCATCCTTTCATTAACAATCTGGTTTTCCTAGATTAAATCTAACCTGAGATTCAGAACCTTTGACAAGATGGATATAAACTAAACTTGAATTTAACTAAAAATTCTAGGAAATGCTAGTGTCTTTTAAAACTGGTATGTCTAACATTCTCTTTTGGAACTATGAATAAATTTGAAGATTGTTGTTCTTCATTGGAATGCATTATTAGTTTACAGAGATTAGGACAATTATTCCCAATATATGACATAAATATTAGTGTAGTCTGGGGGTACCTGCCATGTTCAACTGCACATTTTTCCAAGCTAACAAATGCTTTCAAGTATCTCAGGAAATAAACTCAACAGTAAAGAAAAAGTTAAGCTCATAAACCTCTCTATGCTACACACACACGTAAAGAGAGAAAGAAAATATGGTGAAAGATTAACAGTTGGTGACCCTCAGGTAAAGATGGGTATATGGGTGTTAACGGTATTTTTTTCCCCTCAATTTTCTGTAGGTTTGAAGTTTTATAAATAAAGAGCTAAAGAAAGACTAAAGTTAACAGTTTTAATTTAGTACTTAGTCTCATGACATGATTCAATTTAACATCTAGGTCATTATTTATTTTGTTATTTCGTGACCATATACACTTCATGACGTGTTCCCGTATATGCAACCCATGACTTAAGTCCACCCTATGCCAGGATATGTCTAAAAATAAATAAGCTTAGAAAACCTGCATCAAACCTTGAGAGAGAGGCTACTCCTGTAAAATAGGTGCTGAAGAGTTGACCAATTTTTTCTCAAGTTAAAGATTACACAGTGCCTAAAAATGTTATCACTGCCTTGGTCTACACTTCTCTCAGTGAAGCCTTCTAAATCTTTGCTCCTCCCACAAGTCAGATCTACTGCTCTTATTAGTGGAACCCACTCATAAAGTGTATTTTATTTCTAAATTACTACTTGTCATCCTGCAATGCAGTATTAGGCACTGTCCTCTCTGCCTGTCAACCTAATCAAATCCGGATCCCTAAATCCAAAGACACACACATGGCTTATCTCCTCGTACACAAAAAAACTTTAAAAGTTGGCAAGCTACACTAATCCACTGTTATCTCCTTGGTTTACTTCGTCGCTTAAAAAAAAAAAAAGATGGATACCATATACGTTAATAAATTGTTTTGGTGCAACTGTGAGACAGTTCTAGAAAGACAGATGGATTTCAAGTGAGTGGACCGCTGAATTGGGCGTTGAGACTGATTTTGCATCTTCCTCTGACATCCCGGGGGCATCAGGATCGTATCCCGACTGCGAAGACTGAGGACGGCCACGGACTTCGGACAGGCGAGGACGGGACAGGGACCGGAGGGAGTGGTGAAAGGCGACAGGTAAGGCCCAGGGCGCGCGGTCCCCCGGGGCTCCACGCCGCTCGCCCCCTGCCCCTCCCCTTCGCTCCCCGCAAGCCTCTCCCGCCCCTCCCCACCCGGCTCCCTCAAGTCTCCACGAACGGAAATGGGAGTCACAGCGCCGGGGACCAGCGGAAACAAAACACAGAGGCGGCCGCGGGGGGGCCGCTGTGGGGGAAAAGGCCCCGGAACGAGGCCGGCCCGCGCGGGCCCGCGCTCCCCTCCTCCCCCGCGGCCGCACTCACCCGCTCCGGAATCGGCCCTGTTGCCCCCGCCCGCGCTCCAGAGCCGGCTGAGAACGGCAGCGGCGCGGGCTCCACGTGCAGCGTCTCTCCGGGTAAGACCTGCAGCTCCCACGACTCGAAGTGTGAGGCCCCCGGGCCCTTCCCGCGGAATCGGCGCTGAGAAACCCCAACCCCCCTCCCGCCTCCCAGGCACCCCCGGGTCCAGGACTACAACTCCCAGCAGGATGCGCGAAACAAACGCCCACGGCAACGGAGTCTCACGAGACACAGAGAAGCACAACGTCCCAATCTGCTTTGTTTTACAGTCTCACTTTCCTTGCACAATCATACACCTCAACACCCCTAAGTAAGAGGACCCTGACTCTGAGGGGAGCTTGAACTAGGGAAAAAGGCCAGTCAGGGTGCGCATGCGTATTGAGGAAGGTTTCCAAGAAGAAAAAGAGCGGGTCAAGTTAGGCGGAGGAAAGATGGCGGGGGCTTCGCCAGAGGACCCGGAAGCACTTACCCTCCACTTCCTCCTCCTCTTTGGCTTCTGTCTCACCTAGAGCCGTCCGGTCGCAGACTATCTCCGAGACGCTTCCTGTCCGGTGAGCGTCGACCGACTGGAAACGGCGGCCCATAATGCATAGCGATGGCGGGTAGGCGTGGGAGGGGCGGAGCCAGGGCCGGAAGTAGAACGGTGGCGGCGGCGGTGGCTTTGGCAGCTCGGGACTGAGTGCAAGGTGACTGGGAGGGTAGTTCGTCCAGCGTGGCCTCTTGGGATTCCAATTCTGGGTGTCCTCACGAGGCCTGGGCTGCCTGTCACCTCTGCTCTACTAGAAAGAGAGGTAGCCGTATTTCTCGAGCACCTTCAGGTCCTGGCTGGAGGTCACAGCTGACCTCGGCGCTTTTAGGCCTTGAAGTTTGCCAGAAACCCAATAAATAAGACTGATAATAACCTCCTTGAGGACAAACCCGGGAGGCGCAGAAAGCAGGGAGGCCGGGGGACTGGGGCACAGAGGGTCGGCGGGGCGGGGGCCAGTCCCAGGCTCGCAGCCTGGCTGGGGCAGCCCAAGGTCAGAGAGCTGTTGTGTGGCCAGGCCTGCCCACCCCGTACACACGGTAGGGTCTTCTGAACTATTTACTCAGGACATGCACCATAAAAGGGAAAAGAGTAGTAATAATCTTGAAAGTTTGCGTCCCACCAAAAAACAATGGTGGTTTTTAGGAATATGCAGTGAAAAGGCGGCGAACGGACTAACCTTAGGTTGGGCTGTCATTATAAATGGGAGAACCATGCTTCCTCCCACTACAAGGCCTCTGCGACGACTGTACCCTTTTCTTGCTGTTGCCTTCCCCAATCTTTCTGTTAATGTCAAGTATAATCATAGGCTTGCAGCACACGATAGTACTCGAATAGAGAATTTATCACAGATGGTGTTTTACACCTGTTTATGTAATGAAAAAAATAAAGGAGGAGGAACAAGTTTTGATATTGAGAGTATGTGTTTATTTTTGGACAAGTTCATAGGACA